AACACATCTAGAAAATAGCAATAATTGTCAGTGCATTTAGCCACTTAAGCTCACCAGTCTGGCCTTGTTGTACCTTTCACCTATCGCAAATAAGTCTCTCACCTCAGCAGCCAAGTCCACCAGCGGATTTATGACACACCTAATAATCACTTTATATGCGTACTATGCAGACCAAGGAGGTTCAAAGCCACCGTCCTAAAATAGAGAATTCATCGGCAACAACTCAAGTATTTTACACACAAACAAAGAAACATGTGCCTAGTTCGTAAGTAGTAAATTCAGTTAAAGCGATAAAAAGCCAAAAACTTAAAATTAAAAAATCACACACACACACGCGCTGGCCGCAGCAATGCAAGAGATTAACGCCTTTTTGGCAAAGTGCAAATCATAGACGCACACAACCGCACATAGTGGCTTCAGCCACTAGCCGTATGCAGTAAGTCAATAATATACGGTTGTTTATGATTGAAAACATTCAAAATTTACATATTGCATAGCGTCTGCGCAGCGGCGGCGCTGTTGGCATGTGTTTGGGTTGTTACTCCACTAATGGGTTGGCAGGCCAGCAGTTGGTGGGTGTTAATTTGCGATAGAAATAGTTGCCATCGCAACAGCAATTATTGCAGCGACAACAATTAGTGGCTTAGTAGATGTGCCCTGCGTTCGTTATGCCTTGTCAAGTGGTTAGTTACTGTGTTAGGCACTACGTTAAGGCACATATAGCATTTGTTATTGTTGCCGTTATAAAACTACTAAGTCTTTTGTTTTGTTAGCGGAACAGCTGGAGAACAGCAAGTGATGCTTTACCTTGTTTTACTTCCAAGCTGGCTCTGCATTAATTACCGTTTCAAGTGTCCAGCCGTTGGCACTGTAATTAAAATATTTGTCAGTGCTCACGATTAGTATCAGCCGAGTTGACAGTTCCACTAAGTCGAATGCGCAAAGAACCTACCTGTCCGTCTGGCTGTGGTTCACATGTCACTGCAATTATTTCGCCACAGGCGACTGCAGACACCTATACTGCCCATTCGCGCTGATTGGTCTTGCGCATGCGTTTTCTTTTTCTGCTTTTTAGTCTGTCAACAGGCCAGCGCGACGTACTTCGCATTCAAAAAAGGTGAATCTTCGTTTTCAAATTACCTGCCACTATGCTAACTGCACAATGTTGCAGCGTCGCGCGTCCTAGCGGTCACTCGTCACACAGCTATTTGCGTTTAAAGGTCACTTGGACGAGTTGACGCTCGAACTTCGCTAAATTGTGAGCACAATGTCTTAACTGTAGTCCACATACACAAAGCCACTTTTGGTGCTAATGCGGCTTTATAGCACGTTTTGTTGTTGTTGGTTGCTGGTTTTTGTTTTCATGCTTTTTGCGTCATCAACAGCATGTTCATGCGTATGGCTGTGGCTTTTATGGCTTGAGCATCGGTGCCCACCTTAACATTCAACTCGAAAGATATGCGCGCGTGTATGTATGTGTGTTCATATAACCGGTACACACCGATGACGGAAAGGTGCTCGCTCAAGCTTTTGCTATGCCTTCAATGTATTGCCGTTTTAGTGGCAGTCGCAGCGCATATGATATTGTATATTCACTTGGTTTGCACGCATGCGCATAAAATGCAAGTAGATTAGCATACAGCATTTTATATCTTCATATATGATAGTATGCATACGAACACGCATACACGCATTAAGAAACTGTAATATTTGCACTTGGGCGAATTCTACTCTGTCGCGGCACCATGCCCCTGTCTCACAACCGCTAACGGCGACCAGCGCATTTGACCGACTTCGATTATGAGCCTTGCGTCTCGTCAGCTTGCCGGCGCATCAGCGGATTAAACCACTACTCAATTGCGCTGTGTGAAGCAGATTTACTTCGACCCACTCACAGTTTGTTTGTGGCGCATTAGTCACTTTTTCATCTCCCTGCATGTTGCATGTGCTTTATGCGCAGGTGCCTACGTAACTCAGCTCTGCATATGTCTGTGTCTGATTGTACATTATTATATATTTCTATTTGTTTAATGTTTGAGACTTTGATAGGCTCCATTAAAATGCACGAAAATTACATGCTTACACACACACACATGTACAAATGCAAGCTAGCTGTTGTTGGCTTCTTTCGGTTTGCTTTTGTTCTTTTTGCCCGTCATAAGTAATTTAGCGTTTTATTGTCATTTACTTCATCATAAAGCATTTTCATACAAAGCTCATTTAAATAACGCAAATCTTTTCCTTCGAGTGCTCATCAATTTCATTCAAAGCGCTTTGCATACCGCGATCTTGTGCTAACTAAACTTTTAATGTAAAATATTAAATTGCGGATTTTTAGATACGTTAGCGATCATTGCAAACAACGAAGAAGAAAGAACGATGGATCTGAGTAGCTTCGAGAGCTGATTTGCTTCGCTAAGTACCAAAATTAGGCCTTCTCACCACATTTAATAAACATTCATTCCCGAGCTTCACATTGAACTAAATTTATGAATTCGACTATATTTTTGCAAGTAAGTGCCGGAAATGTTTCAACGTCATCACTGATTTGATCGAGCTCAGCTTAGAAGTTCCTGCTAGGCGGAAAAAACTATTTTACCTTTTAAGAATGGAACTTAGAAGGGATGTTTATTGCCCATAAATATTTGCTTATTTTGAAATTAATCTAAAACACTTTGATGTAAGCCATTTCAAATAAATTAGAAGAATACAACGCCTGTTACACAGTAATTATGTTTTTTATTTTGATCTGGAGGCCAATTATTTTATAAAACATCACTTTTCCATTTGAACATAATCTCTTCCTATTTTCCTTAAAATTAACGTTGATTTGTGGAGCAACTGCAATTATAATTTACTGCCAACTAATTTATTCTTCAAGTCGGTCAACGGGATTGTCACAGAAGGCTTGCCAAATTATTGAAAATAGTGAAATTCAAAATCCTAATAGAGCGGGTCTTCGACTAAATGTGAGGTCTTAAAATATTTTAAGTGTCTTTGACGAGGTTATACTCGCTAAAGGTTTGTTCTTGTTAAAAGTGCGGCTCTCATGAAAACTTATGTTGCCTTTGGACTACTACCAGCTTATGCCGTTTTAGTTGTTAACCTATAGGATACCAGAGTGATTCTTTTGAATTTAATCATGATTTTTAAGATCCTTGCGTTGTCGTGGAAGGTCCGTTGTGTTACCTAAAACTCCTATAAATAGATCATAAGACCATTACACATTGACAAAGCGCTTTGAACCTATCACAAATTTGTTGAGATGGCCAATGTCAATTTCTACAAAGGTAAGACTGCCAAGATGCTTCAACCTCTGTTTTGTAAAGGCCGGACTATGGAGGTGAAAGTTGCCGTATAAACTCCAGGACGTTTTGTATTTTTTTTGTAAAATTCGCAAATGAGGTGTAGAATGAAGATGTATGATTCGAATCTGATGGGAAAGTTTGGCGCAAGATTTTATGTCCTGAGTTCTTCAAGGGCTCTATTTTTAATACTTTTTAAAAGCCGAGTTTCTGAAATAGCAGTGTAGTTTCGTCTATTATGATCAAACCGGAACATTTCCCTTTCTATTTTTACTTTTAGACCTTGCCTTGGCTAGGTGCCTTTTGTCCTGCCGTGTAACGTAAGTGCTCTACGCCCTTCTACAGGTCTAAATTTGCTTTGAAAGCATATTATTTGTTAACCAGCACCCATTTATTAATACTGAAGATCTTTGTTAGGCACGCGAATCCGTCATGTTTGAATTAATAGCAAGTCATTAATAACGGTAATGTAAAAAAATAAATTTCTGTTTTTGACATAGCAGATAAAACAATGAAAATATCGCTCCAGCTAATGTGCTGGGTGCATGCACTTTGGTGCCATCTTAATTTGGCCTTACTAATTTTGCGAATTTACTACAAATTAGTAAAGACATCGTCTGTCCAACGGCATTTTTGCTGCCGCAAATAACGAACATTACGGCTGTCCGGCAGCTTAAAATAGGTTGCTACAACAACATGCAACAAATTGTGTACTACAAAGCACCATTGCATCCGCACCTACGTGGACTTATTATGTGCGAAGCCGCCTGGTGTATTTCGGCAATTCGGTGAGCATGACCAAATACTTAGCACCAAGCGAACGACGGACGGTCGGACCAGAAGAGCTCATCTTAGCATCCGATCCGGTTGCCGTTGGCAGATGAGCCAGCGCCCAAAAACAGACCGAGTTAGGCGATGCTGCCGACGTCAACGTTTTGAGTACAGAACGGCAATACCAGATTTTCATTGCAATCTAGTTTCGTGCGAAGTTGACAAAAACTCAGAAACTCAAAAATCGAAAACAAAAACAAAATCATAAAAAAGTTTAACGTAGTTTTACACGCTGAAATTAAGTTTGAGTTAAGGTGCGTTCGCGTATTTTTGGACACTTAAGCGGCGTTGCTATTGAATATTAATATTATGTGCGATTATAAATTCACATTAATAAAATGCGCGTGTGCGTTTGTGTGTGTGTTTGTGGCTGTGGCCTTTAGTGGATGTGAATTTGTAGAAGCCGCCGAAATAGACGTCATCAGAAACATTGGTATAAAGCGATTTGTGTTTTTTGATTAGAGATAATTTGAAGATTTTCATTATTTTTAGCAGCGCAGCAGCAACGGCGATAATGGCAAGCGCAGAAGCAACTTGATAATGTTTGGCTTAACGCTGGCTAAGCTGTTGAGCGAGGCGTTGCTTGTTTGTGTGTGTATGTGTGTGTTTCGGCAGATTGTAGCATCTTCTTTACCACCAACACAAACAACAAAGCTAATCGACGACAGAGCAATAACTTGCTCAGCAACAAAGCAACCAAACGATCAACCTGAAAGCCAACTAGCCAGCCAGCCAGCCAGCCAGCCAGCCAACATCTGAATGAAGCTCTCAAGCATTCCGATCTTCAATCGGTCAGAGTGTACTACCAGTTATCGCCCATACGTTGGCTTGCCGAAACATCTGCTCCGAGTATATATAGAAAATCTATAGGTTTTGATGGTTTAGTTGGTAACCCGCACTCAACCCAGAAGTGAACCACCAACAGAGATCGCTTAGTGTAGCTTCTTCAACGGCATTGTGGTTGTCCGTTCATAAGTATCTAGCCTTTATTGGTCGTGTCAGATCGATCGATCGAATTCAATAGCAGAGTTGAATTCTGAATCGATACAACGAACATTTGGGATACAATATCCGCCAAAAGGATTAATTCAGAGACACATAGATAAAAGCAAGGATTACGCGCTCACGACCAGGAGTTGTGATTAAACTGTGCTCAAAATGGTAAAAAATATATAAATTACGAAAAAATATATCATCGGTTGGAAAACACAGTTACATGAAAATAAAATAATATGAAATTAATTAATTTAAGAAAATTAAATTAAAAATACAATATAAATAATTAAAACAAAGTAAAATGAAATGAGGTAAATTGAATTAAAAGTAAATTAATTTAAGTAAAAGAAAAGTCCAAGGATTGCAAAGTGATAGTTTTTTCGTCAATGATCAAAGGACATTATCCGATCAGAAAAAATCAGTGAACGTTCACGGGATGCTCACGGGACCGTAAAAGCCAATAAACGAATATCAAAGCGAATATTTCGAAAATAAAGTGATTTAGGCAAATGTGAGACGAACAAACGTTGCAAAAGACACTTGTGTAGAAATGTTTTGATGTGGACAAGACGAGAAGAGGCAATTGCCAATCATAGTGTCAAATACAACGGCTAATGCCGTGAATATTTCCATGAAATTCAAATATTTGCTAAATGCGATTACACTCGTTGAAAAATGCATTCCACCAGAAAAAATTTGTTCAAATAACACAGATACCCAGCGCTGAAACGCAGGCGAGCAAGCGAACGAGCGAGTGAAGCAAAATAAATTGAATTATGTTGTAAATTGCCCACAAACTAGCGTCAATTGCGCACACAATGTGCGCACATATTTACATACATGGGCGACGAACGAACGTCCGTCCACATGAGTGATGATGAAACCGATGCTGGCTGTTGGCGATCATCAAAACAGACGCTCTGGCCGCGGTTGCAGACGGCTGTAGCTAATGTTATTCGCACAGTCAATGCGGCGCGCAATCGTAATGATTCGCTGTTGCGCAAAGTTCTTAAGCGTGTTGCAGACGCCAGCGGCAGATGTGTCTGTAAAATTCATATTCTTCAACGCACATGAATGCGCAAATGCATGTAAATGCATTGTTTCTGCACTTCAGTGCAACTTAATGGCAAATTGCTCACAAAGCTAATGCTGCTGCCGCTGCGAGATATTAAAATAAATCAAAGAGCGCAGTCGGTTTCCATTCAGAGACGCTTCAGTATGCATTAGACGAGTGCAATATCGCCAATAATGTCAGAGGTGTCACGTTTGCCTTCATTTCTGTGGCAACAACAATGTAAGTGGCCAAACAAAGCCACCACCGCTACTGGCACTGACCAGCAGCAGGCACAGGCAGCAGGCAACGGCTAACCGCCAACCGTCAATCGCCATCCTCAGCATCGTCGTGTTAATCATTGCTGTGGCGATTATCATCGATTGACAGTCATTTGTGGGGGTAATTTAATGTGTATTTTATCTTCGTGTTCGATTTTACAGTAGCCAATGCGCACATAAAGCGATCTACATCGTTTGTATACATTTACGTTACGCTGTTCAAAGCGAGTTCGTTGCTTAAGTCTTTTGTTTGCACTGCCAGTTTACTCAATGTTTGTTTTCGAGGCCTTTGGTAGTTACGAGTTTTGAAAATAGCAAAGTAGCGTAATTGAATTTTTTTTTATTGAGGTTAAGAAAATTTATATTTTGACTTTATTACGGAATATAAATATTTAAATTTTATATATAAGCTTCACATGTAATTTTTGTATAACCGCTACTCAGTTGCTGAGATTGAGAGGAGGCCAAACTGAGCATATTATATTATATATAATATATATATATATATATATATATGCTAAACAATAAGTTAACAGTTAAATATTAATTTATAAAAGTCTAGTGAACTTAATCATTTCGTTCAAGACACTTTTTAAAGTCTATATTAAAACAGTCTCTATAAAAAATTTATATATATAGTATTTTCTCTATTAAAAATCCAGATAGACTGAAATAAATACAAAAACTTTAAATTTGTTTTAGTTGTTGTAAAACAAATTAAAATATAAAACAAATAATGATATTGAAAAAATTAAGGAATGTCCTTGAACTAGTTACGCCCCTAAATAACTTAAAAACCGATGCCAATTTTTGAGTAATGTTGTATGGAGCATTTCACAACAACACACTGTGTTCTTCATCAATTAAAATTATAACCCAAAAGTCACATTAGCAATTAACACACTATTGCCAATATATATCTTTATAAATGTCCTATAGATCAATCGCCTAGTGGCTTTTGCTCTCAGGCATGATTTGTGCAGATATGCGAAGAAATGGCATAAGAAAACGAAAACTTGCATATAAGCTAACGAAAGAAAGTTCGAACAATTAGATCCATAAGCTGCTTTTGGACACCTTGTATTCACTCAAGTAATTTTTTGAATGAAATGAGTACTGATGATTTATTTTATTTCATCAAGTGAAATCGAATTGCGTGTGCGAAATACGCTTAAAGTCGCCGCACGTGCCCATCAAAGCAAATAGTTTGCCCACAAGCGAAGATGAATAGCTAATAAGGATGTTACTTATACAGTATTATCCGATGACGATAATTACTAAAAATTTTGTGATACTTTTTTAATGAAATAGAAAATGCCCCAATATGATCTTCAGAGGTCGATCTGAATAAGGAGGATAGAGTGAAGAGATAAAAGCTAGTGATCCGCTAATTGTTAGTTATACCGATTATTGTCGACATTTATTGACTAAATGCTGCGTTTAGAGCTGGCAACCAGTTTCAATTAACCGTATAAAATATATAAAATATTTAATTTTGTTTAATCATCATTGCGATAATTGCGAGTAATCAATATTCTAATTCCTTTCACTTTCGTTAAGGCAAATAATTAATGATGCAGATATGCCAGAGCTCATCATAAGACTTACTTATATTTAGATTTGTTATTGTTGTACAAAACTAATTTTCTTGTAATAAAAAGTCAGTAAGACTGGCAAGGTCGCCAATGATCTATTGAAACTCTGGCTGTGCTAACACAAAGAACAATCAATTAACATAAATTAAATTCATCCTCACACATAAATAGCCACGGCCGAGTGCGTTTTAGTCCCAAAATAAAAAAAATTCAAACTCGTCTCTATAATTTAATGTTCTAAAATATTTAAAATTTCAATACAAAGCAGTCGGACATGTTTGACTGAAGCCATTTCGGTAAAAATATGCAAATAGGAAAAGAAAAAACTAGAAAGAAATAATAAAAAATATATGTCCCTCGTTTGAGATAAATTTTGGCGCATCTTCTCAGCCGTAAGCAGCCGAAAGACTGGTTCTTTCGCTTTCTGCTCGATACTTGCTGGTGAAGTTTTTGTTGTAGATTTCTGCTCTGCAAACATTTTATGCTAAAATATGGCTGTCTCAGATTTGAATGCTAATCGAGATCCGGATTCATGTATAAATTAATGAAAGAAAAATAAAACTCTAGCTTTCTTGAATATTTAAAGATTTGCAGATCATGTCAGTGCACATAATGTAGGCCTCTAAGCGCTGCCACCGCTGATGACTGATGACTAACCGCATCATCTTCATCCAAAGCCCTACCTCGAAAGACTTGAGTATCTCTTGATCTGAGCTGAATTTCCCATAAAATTAGTCTTCGTATTCTTTTCATTAGTTTTGATTAATTACGCTGCTTGTTCTAAATTTGCTGGCATGCTGGTAGATTGCGGTATTTGTTGTGTTTGTCACATTGAAGGTTAGAAAAATAAACGATTTCAAGTACATTTTTAATTACCAAGTAAAATTGGACGATACAAACCAATACCGTTTCGAAAACTTCATTCTAGCTCATAGATTAACGAACCGAACCGATTTTAAGGTGAGCGGAAAACTATTCACACTCCGGCAAGGCCATATAGATAGAGGAAGCAGGTGCAGGCGGCAGCTCTGCTGAAGTAATCTTATTAATAATGCAAATAATTAAATGGATGGAAATGAAATCAGATAAAATAAAAAAAATAAAATAAAATGAAAACAAGTTAAATAAAATAAATAAAAATAAAATAAATAAAGTAAAATGAAATAAAATCAAAAATTTTAATTCATAACGAAAATTATGGCAAATTAAAAATCAATTATTTTAACCCTAATTTTAAACTTTAAAAACTTTATTTACAGAGGGGCACTTTTATTATTTTGACGCTTTGCGTCGCTGGAATTTGTGCTGATGCAAGCACGGATACACTTTTGGTACGTATTCCTAACTTTTACACCTTACTTACTTTGTCACCACAAATGAAATGAAAATATTTCAAATTAAATGAAAATATTACGTTTTTCAGAGAGAGGCACGTGCAGCTCAGGGCTATGATTATCCACCACCCTCTATTCCATTCCCCGAGCCAACGAGGCCACCACCACCGGTGACGCGTCCACCAGCACCGAAGACTACTCGTCCACCACCCCCACCGGTGACACGCCCACCGGCAGCGCTTCGTTCAGTTACGTATTGCTGTGTCTCACGGCACCGAAGACAACCCGTCCTCCACCTCGGTGACGAGACCGCCCAACTTACCTGCCACCCCAACAAACCACAACCACCAGCACCAAAGCCTACAACTCGTCCACCACCACCAGTGACTCGTCCACCAGCACCGAAGACAACCCGTCCTCCACCTCCGGTGACGAGACCGCCACCAACTTACCTGCCACCCAAACCACAACCACCAGCACCAAAGCCAACAACTCGTCCACCACCACCGGTGACTCGTCCCAGCACCGAAGACACCCGTCCTCCACCTCCGGTGACGAGACCGCCACCAACTTACTCTGCCACCCACAAACAAACCACAACCACCAGCACCGGCCTACAACTCGTCCACCACCAGTGACTCGTCCACCAGCACCGAAACAACCCGTCCTCCACCTCCA